CGGCCGCGGATAAGTGTGCTCTGAGCTTCTGCTCTGTGTCATTGGGTTGTGCTTATCTGAAATAATAATAATAATGACTGCTGACGGTCGGGCATCACAGCCCGACCCAGCGTGGGGTCGTGGCGAGGCTCTAGGGAGGGCCTGAGTGCTCACCCAAGTCGGCTTGGCTCATTTGCTGGCCTAGGTGCAGCTGCGTCTCCTCAGTAGCGGCCAGAGTGCGAGCAGCTTCTGGTGATGGCTCTTTGGCACCCTCATTGCTACTGCATGCAGTCCTGCTGCATGCGTAACTCTGGAAAAAAGAGCATATGTTAAATGTGATCAGAGTTAACTCTGCCACGTGTTGCATTTCTGACTGTTTTGGTTTTGCAGGGAAATTGAAATACCCTCCCATGGATTTTTGTATTTATGGTTATATAATAAAATGTAAATAGCATCTGAGGGAAAGGAGTTTTTTTCTTCCTCCCCCCTTCTCCCTCCCCCCCCTCAGCCCCCAGTCTCTGCATCTTGCTCTAGCTGCTTTCACACAAATAAGCAAATCATGTAGTGTAGTTATTCATGTCTGAAGACCTCATTTAGTAGGTAGGCTTCTCTTTAGAATTTTCTTTATGAAACGGCACAGTGATCCCACACCATTTCCAGGATGGGGCAATCTTACTAGGGGGTAGAATTCCCTCCAGAGAGCTGCTGCCCACTCATATAGTAAAGTGGTTTCCATCTCGTCTTCCTAGGTCCCTGAACTGGCTCCCATTCCTGCACCTGGGCTCCTGAGTCACAAGCCTGTGAGCACTTGATATGATAAGTTTGAGGATGGGGGGAGAGGAAGAGCATGTTACATGATTTTCTCTCTCTTCTAAAAGTTTGGGAACTAATCCTGGGTATTAATACCTCCCTTTCTCCCCTATCCCAAGAGTTTGTGCAGTTTTTTTTTGTGTGTGTGTGTGTATGTGTGTACGTTTTACTCATTTGATTGCATTCAGTAGATTACTAGGCCTTATTAAATAAAAAAAAAATACTTAGGGCTGACAACAGGTGTCAGCAGTAGTTCACTTATATTTAATTTCCTCTTTACAAGTCTTAGATTCCAATGCTCTAAAGTCAGAGAGTAGGAGTGGGAGCTGAGAAGATATGGGTCTGTAAAAGTGGAAGGCCTCAAAGAGATGAAAGGGCTAGAGGGGGAGGAAGGACTAATTGTCTGGCTGGTATGAAAAAATTATTATTTGTAATAATGGCATTGTTTCTTTACCTCTTTTTTAAGTGAGATTTCATCTCTGAGACTGAGGGAAGAAATAAAATCTTTATAGATAATCGTGAGGAACAGAAGGGAAGGAAAAAGTAGTATTAATGGTCTGCATTTCTGCTCATTCTGAGTATTTGTATTTGCTTTTCTCTTGTATCTGCAAGCAAAAAGCTTGATTGCCCTTGCTATTTGTTCTTATAGTTGCTAATTAGAGTTTTTGGTTAGATATGAAACAACTCTGCTGTTGGGGAAAACTTAAGCAACTGAGGCAGAAACTGTAGAGAAAAGTAGTGAAATTTCAAGGCAGCAGGTGAGTACCTGAACAAGGCCAAAATCAAAAACTTCAGCTCCTTAAACAAATTCAGGTTAGCTCTGTGTTCTTAAGATAGATGAATAAATATGCCAGTTGGTTATGTTCTTCTGGGTTTATTTTAAAAGAACTTTTAGGTAAGATGATACTTAAAAGCACAGTATGCAGGGAAAGACAAATGATGTGGGGTCTTCTGCAGCTTTTATGTGACTGAGTGTGTGGGGTCTTTAGGACCCCATTCATTTCTGTTTCAGAGCAAAGAAGTCTTCTGCAGCTTTTATGTGACTGAGTTTTGAAGAGAGAAAGGAAGAGGATTATTCACACTAATTCTTAGCACCTAAGTTGCTAATTGTTCTGAGAAGTTTTTTTTTAAAAATGTAAATAATAGTGGTGATATATTAACTTCAGAAGGCATTGTCAGCTAAATAATTTGTGTTTTTATCTGTGAACAGATAAAATAACCTAGCTACAACCCCAAATTTGTATAATCTTGGGGAGCCAGAAATATTTGAGAGACCATTTTAAAGTTGCGGTGGTACAAGATATTCAATATGTCTGAACATGGTACCCAAGCCCAGACCAGCAGAGCATCCAAGGCACAGGAGTGCTCACACTGTTTCTTGTTTCAAGAAATTTCTCAAATTTTCTTTACAAAATATTTGGCCAGAATACAGAGATAGTTTAAACCTAAATATTCTCCTTCAGCCTTTCCCCAGGATTATTCCATTCTGGAGTATTGTTATAAATTCCCCTGATGCGTGGATTTTTTTTTTTTTAATATGGTGCTAGTGCTCAACAGGATCAATCCCAATCTGCAGCTCATGATTAGCCTTCTAATCTAGAAGGTTCTAATCTAACCTTCCAGAGGTTTTGAGTCTTGCTTAGTTAAAATGTTCTAATCTCATGTTCCACTTTGTGAGTAATTCCTTGTTGACACTGATCACCAAGAAAGATTGCTGTCAGTTAGTTCTTTGCTTTTCTGATGAAGACAGGGTTTTTCCTAGTACAAGCGTGCTTAGTGCTCAGGACATTCCAAGATAAGGCCTTTGAGGTGACTAGTATTTTGGGGTACATGGTTGTGAATTCTAGGTGAGAGGGAGATACTCAGTTCAGCCCAAATGTTGACACCTTTGGCCTTCTCAAGGCTTAAGCTTCTAATGTCCAGTTCTGGGCTCCACAGTACAAGACGGATGTGGAGCTGCTGGAGAGAGTCCAGCGCAGGGCCACAAGGATGATCAGAGGCCTGGAACATCTGCCCTATGAGGAGAGGCTGAGGGAGCTGGGCCTGTTCAGCCTGGAGAAGAGAAGGCTGAGAGGGGACCTGAGCAGTGTCTATAAGTACCTCAAGGGAGGCAGTGAGGAGGATGGCGCTGGCCTCTTTTCAGTGGTGGCCACCAACAGAACTAGAGGAAATGGCCACAAACTGAAGCATCAAAAGTTCCACAGGAACTTAAGGAAAAACTTCTTCACAGTGAGGGTGACAGAGCGCTGGAACCGGCTGCCTAGAGAGGTTGTGGAGTCTCCTGCTCTGGAGATCTTCAAAACCCGCCTGGACACAGTCCTGTGCCACGTGCTCTAGGTGACCCTGCGTGTGCAGGGGGGTGGACTAGATGATCTCTAGAGGTCCCTTCCAACCCTAAGCATTCTATGATTCTATGATTCTAATTTGACAGGTGAAAAAATAGGTGTCTTAGGCTTCTGTGGCACTTAGGTACTTTGATGAGTATATCATGGATAACTTTGATCTAGGGACCCATATATGCTTCTTGAATTTTACCAGAAGTGTCTATATCCTTTGTTGAAGTTGCCTATTATTATTTCTTGAAATGAAATGTTATCTGCTCAAGAAGCAGTAGGAATCTGGAGACTCTTTGGCAGCTCTGGCTATTCAGATGAAAATTAAAATAAATGTACCAGAAAATATATCAGAATAAATAGGGTCATGAACAGTTTAGGGATTTTTTTTCTCTCTGTTACTTCAGCCTCCATTCACTTAGCACCTTTTCTGGGTAGGCTGGTTTTACAACTGGTGGTGGAAGGCTCTGGACCAAGAGTAGTAGTCTTTATGGACTGTACTTGAAGGGTTTGTTTGTTTTTTTTCTTGCCTCCTTCTCACTTTCATTTTTTCACTGGATATAAAAAGTACAAAGAATAACAGGATAATCTAGCAGCTGAATGAAACTTGCAGCAATAGTCCTTTCCCCATCCTGATGAAAAGAGGGTGCCTAGGAGATTGGATGAAGGGCTGAAGAGTACTAGAGCTTTACTATAATATTATGTGCAGAAGTTTTCACATGCACCTGTATTCAGAGTTCTTCAGCAAGAAAATATCAAGGAATTTTAAATTTCTGATTTCAAAATTAACTTTGTTTTATAACACAGTCTCATTCGCTTGTATTAGAACTCTCCCATGGAGATTGGACCAAATATTCCTGGCTTCAAAATGTACTCTAAATATGTTTTGGAGCCCAAAGCAGTCCATTTTTGGCTCTAAGCAGATTTGCTTTTGCCCGTTACATGGCATTCAAAGCCATGTAAGGTAAAGTCCTCTCGTACATCACTGGTTTAACCAAAGCTTTCACACTTCCCTGTGCTTTGCATTCTGTGGCAGAAAGCCCATGTGCCACTGATCCACCTCACTCTCACTCTAGTTTTACCTCATTCCCTAAGTCAGTTCTGGGGTCTTCATCACAGAGTATTTTTATGTCTCTTGTAAACGCACCAAGTACAGACTGTCATGCCTCAGCTTGAGGAAAAGAATGTTTTGGTAGCTCTGTCATGATGATATCTCTTAACTGACACCAATTTTAATGGATGGAAAAAACATTTTGAATATTAACACTAGCCAGGGGAGTCAGTGTAGTGACCCCTTGACATATGCTTGCAGTATAATCTTTTATCTGGCATCCTATCATTCCTTTTATTAGTACCACTCATAAGCACCAAAAATACACGTTTCACAAAAGAAAAGACAAATGAAGGTGTTTTTATTGTCTAGATTTTACTGTCTAGAAGAAAAGTGAGCACCAAAAATACATGTTTCACAAAAGAAAAGTGAAGGTGTTTTTACTGTCTAGATTTTACTGTCTAGAAGAAAACCTACAGAAAATTGAAAAGGCAGATACAAAGATCAAGAGGTTATTTCATGTTTTCATAGAAACAAATGGTAGTAAAGAAAAATTGGTTAAGATTGAAAGACTATAACAGAAGAAACCCTAAAAAATTATGAAAGAAACTTCAAGTTTGTGACAAAAAAATTACAACTCAGCTGTTACTGCAAGCAAACTTTTCATCTTAGAATAACTGATAATGATCTCATCTTGACAATATATTTCAAAGGTCTTGCACATTAAAAAAAAAAAAAGGATTATTATAGATATTTCCTGGTCTTATTAAACTATTTTGCATTGAAGCAGCTGAAGAAGTCTGTCTAGGTTTCAAAGTGGCAAAATGTCATTACTTAGAGGTATGAATGTGGTCTTTTGAAAGCTGTCACCTGATCATCTATTCTGTAGACATTTCTATAGTTTTATACATATATATTATTGATGATAAAGCTATTTGGACCTAAGAAAGAAATATATAAAGGAAAAAGAGATGCAAAATGAGGAGACATTTCACTCCATATAAATCAGAATAAGCATCTCTGTTAATATGTAGCTTATATGCATGTTTTGATATTACTCTCATGTATAATTTGCTATTATTTCTTAGCTGGAGGTTACTGTCTTTGCAGCAGAATAGGTGGTAGGGTGTGTGTGATTTTTTTCAGTTAAACTCCGGTATGTTACCTTAAATTTACCAGCAGTTTAAATAAAAATGCCAGATTTTGAAGTGAAATGGCTGAATCCAGGCACTTTCCTTTGTGTTGATTTCCAGTAAGGAAGAAAGAGGGAGAAATATCCTTCAGCAGAGGAATGGAATGGGCAGCTGGAGGTGGTCACTTTTTTAACTCCTGCGTGGCAAGATTTGCCAGAGTTTGTCTGTCAACAGGCTATGTGTGCCCGGCTGCCTGACGTGGTTCTGATTTTAGTCATGTCTCCAAGTACCTGCATTGCTTTTGGGGGAATCTTCTCTTAGCACAAATATCAAGAATAATATAATTCTTGAGGCAGGTCTGAAACAAATATTCTAGGAAAAACTTGTAAAGTTTTCTGGCATAACTCAG